AGTTCAGTACCTACAGCACAACGATGTCAAACGAGCCTCTACAGGCATCCGCCATCCAGAACGGAAGACAAATGTTTCACCAGGGGTTGAATATTACCGTTGGCGGCTCGAATGGAACCAGATGTTTATAGCTATACAAGCCCTGCGACTACAGGCCCAAACAAGTAGGTAAACATTGCTATAAAACACGCCTATTCTATATGACCCAGCAAGTAATCTGCTAGGATTTCAATATTATCTTTCATCCTATTTCGTTCAAGGTAACGAAGGAATGGTAGTTGAATTTTACCAGTGCTATGAGCAGCCATCATGTTTCCAATGAATCTAACGCAGTCTTGCTTCCCAAAAGTTATTCTCATCCGAGATGGACTACAGTTTACACCTCGCCTTAGTCTCATCAGCACCCCAAGTGGGGCTCGAACCCGGTTTGCGGTAGTGCAGTGTATGGCCCCGACACGTAAACCAATATGCCACACTGCAATGAGTGACCTTGGATCAGAAGGCATACGTGAATTTTAAAGGCTAGGTCTTTCCCATATCTTATATATATTTATATTTATATATGATATACTGGTAGTCCCGAGACCCATTTATAAAATAAAACTAAGTAATATAGTCGACTGCTATAGAAAATACAACTACTTCATCGACAACCTCACTGATGAAAGTGATATGAGAAAGGTCTAGCCTTCTCCATACTTCGCGTATGCATTATTAGGCCTACTCATATGACTGTGGAAAGATTCCACTTCCAGCCCCTCATCTCCTTGAATAAATGGTAAATACATATCTTTAATATTGTTTATTGCTAGTCTAGAAAATCTATTTACACGCAAAAATATCTTTCCTTATATTCAGATGCCAAAGATGCTTATGAGCCTGGTCAGAGTATGCCCAGCATTATCGAGATGACACAAGCTTCACGTGGAGAGCCATACACTTGGAACGGCAGCGAGCGCTGGATGGCTGATGGCGATTGCCACTCGCCCTCGGCCGGCGAGCTGTTGGCCAACCGTTCCTGGCTCATCCGCTCGTTAGCTGGTGTTCTTTTTGCACCAGCCACTAGTTTGAACCGCCTGAAAGCCCTCGACACCAGGTCTACATAATTAAAACGAAGCATATTCGGCACTACTAACCACCAGCTTTTTCATCGAATGTGCTCAGTCAGATGGGTAGCAGGCTATGTTCTCTAAACACATCTAACGCATTTAAATGGCCGCATGATGACTGTTTTCTCGGTGAAACGTTTGCTTAAGACTTACTTATTTGAGCCTAAGTATGTCAGTTAGTACTTTGTGAACCGATTCCCATCTATGTTCGACGATGTCCATCCAGACAGTCCCCTCCATTATTTTTATTTCCGTGGATCGGTTAGCATCCTACCTTCTCTTATGAAAAGCAAGAGCAACATCTTCCCTATCTGTCCAATTTTTATTTGATTGTCTAATCACTATTTATAATTGAACTCTGGCGTTGAAGTTATCTTTAGGTTCAATTAAGACAACTGTTACTTGGAAACTGTCGATTTGTCGACATTTCCGCAGTTTTATTGTTTGTAACCAAGAAGCTTATCTCGTTGGCTCATTGCTCTTTCTATCTACATACTCTTTCACCTCATTAAGAGTTCATTATTCCTCCTTATACATTACACGTGTTATTCACACTTACATGGGAATGGCAGACTTCCCCGCTTGTATACAGTAAATTTGAAATTGCTTACTTAATCAATTTGATATTCTGTAAGAAATCTCATCTTCCTATCTTCGCTTCGCAATCTGTCGTTGATATATCGGGTTGGCAAAAGTATATATGCAAGTGCTTAAAGTTAGTCATTCTGAAATCAATGGCTTGATCATATCCTATATAGTAGGACTTCCAGTTATCAAGGAATCTAGGTCAAGTCCATTTATAGCTTATGTTCG